GGATGGGCGCCACCGCGTCCGTCCGCCCCCGGGCCACCGCGGAGGGGAAGGGGGGCCGGGAGGACGACGCCCCACCCGGCCTGCAGGCGCGGCCTGCCTGGGGGTGACTCCTGGGGCCCAAAAAAATGATCGGGGGAGAGGGCTGTCACCTCACTCACCCATTCCACACGATCTGGGGTCTTCCCCTGTGCCCACTTGAGATGTGGGAAATAGCTGTGCCCTGGGTCTCCCAAATACGCAAGACGATCCAGCGAAGGTGGGTAAACCCCCAGAGGGAAGGCTGAGGGAGCTAGAGATAGCTGGAGGAGGAATCCGAGCTGGGGCAGGGGGGGACCACCTGGAAGTGGGGAGCTGGGCAAGTGGCCGCTTCCATGTCCCTGCCTGAATAGCCCTAAAGGAGCTGATCCAGAGTACCCACTCTGGGCCGGCCCCCCTGACCTTCCCTGAGCTCTTCCATCTTCCAACCTAGAGGATCCAGTAGTCTGAGTAGATACCCAAGTACGCCACTACTGAGGATGAAGACAGATCAACTCCTAAAACATGAGACTGTGTGGTAATTTATGTTCTACTCATATGTCATAGCTGGGGAGACTGAAGTCCAAAGTTCGGGTTCTCTCTTGCTCCAAATCCCCCAACTACTTAGTGCTCCAGATCCTTGGCCGCAAGACTTAATGCCAGGAAATGCTAGAAAATATCAGGGAGGTTTTAAAACACTGTTAAAGTGATACAAAAATATCTGGTAGAAACTCTAACAGGGGCCCAGATAGAGATCTATAGGGACAGAGACTACAGAGAAACCTCCCAAAGTGCTCACGGTAGTTTGCATTCCTTCGGAGAGATGACTTTTTAAAGCAATTATTTCCCTTCCACGTTGTTTGTAAAATGGCAATATTACTTTTAGAAGGGGAAAGTTGTTTTAAAAAAAGAATGTGAAGGCATGGAAAGTGCTAATTGGGACATGTCCAAGGAAGGCCTGTCCTCCCCTCCTCCCACCACAACACAGAAACTTCCTTGCTCCCCAAGTATCTGCCCCCACTCGAATGTTATATGCCGGAAATTCCACCACTGGAGTCCTTCTAGTTAAACATGGACCGTTATTAAATGTCTAAGGGAAAGAAGCAGAGAGTATCAAAAAAGCAAACACTCGGTGATCCCGCACGGTCCAGGGAATGCCCAGCTGCCTTGCCCTGGCATTTTCCCTTCTGGCTGGCATCATATATTGCCAAGGGGGGCTGCCACTGCCTTCTTTTCCCTTCTCTTCCTGCCCACCCTGTAGTCACCTTACTACATAGCACGGCCGGGCTGAAGCTGCATTCTGCCCCCCCCCCCCCCC